ACACTTAATAAGTGTACTGCGAATAATTAATTTATTATAATAATATGCATAATTACTACTGTATAAAAATACATATATTTCTACATATTTAATTAAATAGTATAATGAGAAATGTGGAAATTATTACAAAAATATTATTTCTATATGTATATTATTAACATTTATATTATTATTATTTTCCAATACCAAACCAGCATGATGCGAATGAAAGCATACAACATATAAAAAAACAATAAAGTAAAAACAGCGAATAAAAAAATATTTAGTTATAGACTTATAAAAATCCGTACTGTGATTTTTCAATATAAGAGAATATTGAAAAAGTAATAAATACATATTTTTCATGCGTATCGAAATTTTAAATGAGAGATTTCGTTGGATTACTTTATTGAATTTGCTTAAGAAGTTCCAAATTCAAAACGTAAGGAGTAGAAGGCTATCCAAAATGTTAAATCTTTGCTATCGACTATTTCTGGGAGACTTGCTTGATGAGCTATTGAAACCATATATGACGAAAAGAGCGGCGCTCACCTGCCAAATATGTTTGATAAAGTATAAGAGCGCTCCATTTGTTCCATGAAGTGTTTCTTCACGAACTTATTACTGCCAAAAAAACGCAGTAAAGCCATTTGCAACAACTGCCAAGTGTACTTTACTCGATATTGTATTCATTTATAATTATAACGTTCGAATATTATCAGAGAAAATTCTCTTTATGGCCTATATATTTTCTTCCAAGTTATAACTGAATTTTTAATATAAGCTCATAATCTATTTTTACAGTTATAATACCCTACGTTGAATTGATCAATTATTAGTTTAATTAGCGATATAAAATCGGAGATTAAAAATCGATTTATATTTTCTTATCTCAATTAATTGCAGTAGAATAAATTTAATAATTTTTTTTTAAATATTCATAACGTATTTTCACGAAGAAAATATAATTTATGTTTGCAATTACGAAACAAATATGCAAATAAATTCACGTTACGTTCATAAATGTATCAATAAACTCTGCGATATTCTGAATCTATCACAGATGCCGTTAAAGAATTTAGATAAAAAAAGTAAGGGGAAAAAGGCAATTTTTGACTTTAATATTATTTAATATCACTCAACTGGAGGTGGTAACAACAAAACTGATAATAACTACCATTGTTCGACGAAAAGTAAAAAGAATAAGAGTTAACCAAGCTAAAAATAGAGAGAAAACCGAAACTGGGCACGTGACTTCATTGTCGAATCGTTGTCCAATCAGCGAACAAGAATGTGAATAAATTTAATCTACCGCATAGTCACTTGGATCGGTTATTGGAAAATTTTATTACTTAGAATCAGAACTAAAATTTCACTTTAAAACAAAAAAAAAAAAAAAAAAAAAAAAAAAACACAACCCGTGGGGGGGAAAACATTTAAATTGCAACTCATATAATTTCGCTATTAAAAGTGCGAAACAATTTTAAAAAAGAAAATATTGCAGAGCTTTTTAAAAATTGTTTTTAAACATTTAAAAAAATGATAAAAAAATTCTTTAAAAATGATGTTATTCAAGAACCGAATAAAAAAAAATTTAAACATAAAAAACGGGATCGTCGATAAAAATAAATTCAAATTATCATTTATTTGTAAATTAAGGACTATAAAATGTTGATATAAAATGCGCATAAAAGCTATTAAATATGCGGAGAATGTTCTCAAAATTAAAATTAGAGTATATGATAAATGCCGCTCTGTAATTTGTATTCTGATTTTTATTTAGTTTCGCTGGAAATTTGAATTCTAGACGCTAAACTTTGCAACCAGTTCAACAATCACATTTGAATTTTAAACAAAATAAAAAATAAAATACAGTTTAAAATTCCTCTTTCTAATGTTCACGTTGGAATGAAAAAATGAATGAAAAAAGAAGAAATGAAAAGAGAAATTAACATTTTATAAAAATTTGATAGTAATTCGTTAAATAAATTATATATATTTTTTCTCAAATAACATTAAATGCAAGCAAAAAACAGGACGGAAACCGTAATTCGAAAATACAATTATATTCCAGCAATTAGGATTTGATTCTGTTCTAAATTTGTTTAAAGAGTAGAAATTCGTTTAAACGTAATCCTTTTACCATCCTTAGTTTTCATCAAATGAAGGATAAATATTATTAAATTATCATATTAAATCTCTAAAGTGGATATTAAACTATGACTAAAAGTGAATTAATATTGATGATTCATTATTGTTTGTTGAAAGTGACGAAGTTAAATTGTTAAAAGTTTCTGAGCTTTGAATAGAACTATTCATTATTGTGTAGGAAATTAGTTGAAAGGAAGTGATTCCTTTACGCTTTTACGACAGCTATTTATAAACGTTATTTATTTTATGGCTGTATTTGTCCTTTGATATTAGCCCCTGGATGTTGTCTTCTCCGCTCGACTATCGAATGATCGTAAATCTGACTCAATACTTATTGTTGACAAAATCGGTTGAAGAAAATTCCAGTAATAGAATTTTAAGTATGTAACAAATAAATTTCCGTTTATTGAAAATGTAATAAGTACTGTGCATAAAATAATTAGAATGCTAAGATTTCCCCCCGCTCGTATGTAGATTTTCGAAATCAATAAAATTACATAAACAGTAACGAATGGAAAAATATGCGATAAAAAAAATAATAATAGCGATAAGATTGGAATAAAGATGGGATAAGTTTATCATTTTTATACAAAATTATTGATCCGTTCAATTTTTTCGTCTCTGTTTAAAAGATTTATGATTGTATATTAAGGAGAAAAAAATATCCTTTTAAACTGAATCGAAGCTGTCATACTGTAGTAAAATCGTTTAATTTTTTTTATTGAAAAAATCTATAATTAAGCCAATTTTTTCTTAATGTTCATAATGTTTAAAAGAACGTTTTTTGTTTTTATTTTACTTTTTTATTATTTAAAAAGGAGGAGGAAAAAAACACGATCGTAAAGAATGATCAAAGTCATATCATGACATAACGATTGAATTATAAGTCAACTGATGAGACATCTTATAAATTCATTATTTTCTTTTACATTTATACGAAGTAGAAAACGGTATTCGTAGAAAGTATTCTCGTCTCTAAATATGGAGGAAAAAAAATTTAATTTAATAATAAAGTTAACGGGCGAACTTAAAAAGTATTTGAATCATCTGGCACAAATATTTCATTCTAATGAAAAATTAAATGAGAGTTACGAAAAAAGCCGAAATTAATATTTATCGCGTTATGAAAAATAAGAGCATCAAAAAGGAGGAGGGGGAAAAACTTCCATTTCGAGTTCGTCGTCGATTTAAGGACGACGAACTCAGAAAACAGGTCACGTGACACCTGGCTCGGTACTTCCATCCCCAATGCGTAGGAAATGACGTCACGCAAAGTAATCGCCGATAGTTTAGTAAAAAAAATTTTTTTATGGTTGAGTATCTAAATTAATTTTACTCCCGGCAAAATCGCATTATATTTTATCAGCCGATTAATAAATAAAAGTTTAAAGAAAAAAAAAAAACGGAATGTAATTCAAAAGCATTACGCTAGTAATTCGTCTCTACAGTTTAATCATGTATACATTTTAATTCCAAAAAATTTTTTCTTCTTTAATCGCATAAATAAATATCGAGTAAATTCATTTTATTTTCTAAAAACTCCCGACAAAATTCATAAAAGAAAATATATATATATAAAAAAATTAGATCAATTTCAATTTTAAACGAAACATAAAACTGTTTTCAATTCCATTCTCCGAAGATTATTATCCGTTGCTTAGCAACTAAGAGTTGTTGATTCCCAATGTCATTTTCTTAGTTTAGAAAAATAAAAATACCATCGCTTGTTTCATAATAAATAGTAAATACTTTAAGAAACTAAATTATTTTCTCTCGAATTTGTATCATTTCGAGAAGACCGCGTTCAAAGTAAAAATAAATAAAAAAAATCGAATTTTTCAACAAACTAAAAATTTATACATTCGAAAATATACACAAGAGCGAAAATAACATATAAAACAGTTTAAAAAATGATTTTTTTAAAACAATTTTCCAAATTTGGCAATAAACCTTGTTAAACTTTCCTATTAGCTCCAACGCCCCCTT